ATTCAATCTCTCCTCTGCTACAGAATGGTTTGCACTTGGCTATTGCATGCAGAAGTGGCAAAGTGGGGTGGGGTGGGGTACTCTTTTTGGCTGTGGGAGGGGAATAGGGTCTAGTGGGTTATGGTGCAAGGACTCTCTTTTGTATGTGTGTCCTGTTTGGTAACATGCTTCACACATAAGCCCTCGCTCGCTGTGCTCTCCTCTTTCCTCTCCTTCCCATCTTCTCCTCCCCTCCAGAACCTGCAGTGTTATTATCTCTTGATGCTTTGACACATTTGTCTGAATTTGTAAAACTCTTCTCACGCACCTTCCCTGGTGCAGCTTCATCTCTCCCTGCACGCAACAGCTTCCTACATTGGGGCAATAAATATGGGGACGTAGTTGGGGTGTGAATCCGTGTGCCAATTGTTTTTCTCACACACCCAAGGTCTGCTCGATTTCCTTCCCTCCTTCTCTCCTTTTCTTGCCTTCCTTTTTTTCTTTTTCCAGCTGCTTTGTGTTAAGCAGGGCTGTGTGTACTTTGTGCTTTAAAATTCCCTGAGAAGCTGGATTTTGCAACCTGCATAAATTATGCAAATTAAGCCAGTTTATGCGGATTCTTTTGGCATTTGTTTTGGTTTGTTTTTTGTAATTTATTCTGCTTTGGCTAATCAGCAAAAGCAGAGAAGGATCTATATAGGGCACTGAAACACCACCCTCTGGGTACTAGCCACCCTGTGGCAAAATTTCAGCAGGCATTGAATGCCACTTTCAAGCATATCTTTGTAAACATAAGAACTGGAAACTTGCTCTTAAAAATAGTCAAGCATATCTTTGCAGACATAAGGGCTAGAAACTTGGTCTTAATATATCTATCTATCTATGTATTTGTATATAGTTATATAGATATATATCTCTCTGAGATTCTCAGGAAGCGGAATTGCGTGCCTAATGCCACATCCTGTGCTTTGTTCTGTGCTCCTGCAATATTGCGGCATACACACAGCCCTGTTATTAACCTCTTTGTCTTTGTGACCAGAAATTATTCTGTACTGTGATCTACCCTGCTCTCTCTTGAACGCTCTGTCTCATGCAATAAACTGGATTTGTAAACTTTCCACAGAGAGTTGCCAACCAGTTGAGATTTTATACAGAATAAACAAGACACTGAAGGACTGCTTGGGCTTTATTTTATATAATACTTTGTATTTTATACAATATTTTGTTTTCCAGATACAGTAAGGTTTTTTTAAAAGTTCAAATTGCTGCTAATGGTTAGACTGCTTGACTTGGACTTAAACAGGGGCTTGCTGAAGCTCTTGAAATAAAAGCTGGCAGCTCTTGAAACAACACCCACAACATGTGTACTTGTTTGAGCCAATCTGCTTAAATCTTGAAACTGACCATTGCCTAATAATGGAGGCTTATTCTAAAAAATCACTGGGGATGGGGGGAGAAATACAGTTAAAATCAGATTCAGTGTCAGACCTGTTGCGAATAGCATTCCCACCCCAATATAATGTGAGAGCAACCTGAAGCCTGACAATTAAGGACTGCTGTTTCTCTCATTGACTTTTGGAGCTGGGATAACTCAGCATCCTAGCTCCTGTAAGAGAGTGGAAGCTGCTTGCTGTTTAAGATGCAGTAGCCATAGTGCTGTTATTTCCCCTGCAGGGAAATTGCAGCAATCAATAGGTTATCCCTGCTGTGTTCATACCCTTGCTTTGCAGTTTAAAAGCATTGCATTGCAGCAGGGAGATGAGGTGGGTGAAACTCTGATCTTCCGCATGTCATCCATAAGAGTGATTTTTGAGAGAATTATATTATGATGGTCAGATTAGGTGGTAGAGGAAGTATTGCAATTAGAAACAAGGCTACCTTAAGCAGTAAAGGGCATGTGATTGTCCTCTAACATTTTTCAGATCTCCAGAAGCTCCAGATTGCTTGCTTTCCTTTGTGATTGGGATAACATGTTATCCCTTCCTAATTGCAAAGCTCCAGTATGCATTGCAACCCCCTTTTTCTGCTGTGAGACATAATGACTTAGTTCTGTCCACAAAATCTCTGTGAAATGGCTGCCTTGAAAAAAAGATGCTAAGCCATCTTCAGAGTTGCAGAATGCAGAGGAAGACAGGATATCCTGGGGAGGTCTCCTATACAAACGTCCATGCAAGTAGGATCATATGGTAGTGCTTGTTTACAACTTCCATTTCTTTCAAAATAGGGCTTCCGTCAAAGAACGTCTCTTGAGATTCTGGTATGAGTTGCGTATGTATGTGCACATGTACGTAGACATGCGTAAAGGAGAGTGTTGTATAGATTTTCTATTTCAGACCACTGGGCTTTCAAAAGGGTATTCTGTGGGGAAAGTGAGTTAGTGGCAAAGTTCCCTGGGCCACACTGTGCACCTCTTTGTATGTACCAGCAGAGTTAGGACTCCAGAGTCCTGCCCCAGTCCAAAGCACAGAGACTCAGTCTTTGGCCCGTTCCTTGCGCAGGGCCACACGGACATCACTGCAGACCTTACCCACGGCTTCAAAGAGTGGGTCACAGAAGGTACGTATACACAGGGCATAGCAGCGCCCACAGCACTGCACCTCTATGAAGTAGCTCTTGATGCAAGGCACAGCCCCCCAGATGTGGCAGAAGGAGACACAGGCAAAAAGGAAGCCCCAAAGCAAGGCAAGTGGCACGCCCAGCACCCCGGACAGAATCCGGTAGCACCAGTACTTGCTGACAGTAAAGGTGGTGTTGCTGGCCTTCCACACACCATCGAAGCTGTGGGTGCCCTCTGGTTCAGCAATCACATCTTCAAAGTCCACCTAGTAAGATTGGAGAAGAAGCTGTGAGTCAGACAGGGCTTGGTTTTAAAGCAGAGTGAGTGTTTTAGGATAAGCATCATACTATTTAGCACCTACAGCGTGCCTTTTCCTTCTCAGTTGGTAAGTAGCACCAGACTTCTACATTTAGGGTTATGGATAAATACTGATTTTCAACCTTCACTAAATGTTTTCATAAAAATGCAAGCAACAATATCCCAGCTTCTGGCATGAAGAGGTTTCAAGCAGAGAAACAGCAGGGAAGTACAGGCTTAACCCTCTGCTTCTACTTTTCTCTGCTGACCCACCTCACAGAAACTATTTTTCTTCTCTGTGGGCATCTAAATGTGTTTGCCATTGAAAACATACATCTTGAACCTCAGTGGAGGGGGGCCACGGTCCCACTGGTTAAGAGAAGGGGTAGGAACCCCACTGTCACTGCCTCTTTGCTCCAAATTGTGCCTCTGAAAGCCTCTTTTCTCTAAGTGGCTTGTTGAGATTTTGTTAATGCAAAGTTGCACACATAACCCAAAGAGAAAGAATAAAGACAACAGTGTTGTGCTACCTTTTAGACTAACAGATTTGTTTGAGTTTGAATTTTTGCAGATTACAATCCACGCCCTCAGACGCAAAATATATTTGCATTTAATGTATAATAAATGATACACATCATACACTACAGCCAGGAAGCCTTTCATAGCAAAATATGTTTGCATTTAATGTATAATAAATGATATCATACACTACAGCCAGGAAGCCTTTCATTAGAAGCAAAGGTAGCATCTGTAAGGATTTTGTAATTGTGACTAGCATTGCAGATTGTACATTAAGTAGGAGATGAATTAGATCTATCCCCACCAAGGAGTATAGTAGTTAATGGGCTTGGACTGGGGCTTCGGAGATTGGGGATCTGGTCCTGAATAAGCCATGACCAAGTTGTGGGAATAAAGTGCAAGGAAGAGTACACTTGGGAGGAAAAGTGGGATATAAATGTGACATATGATCCCTCAAAGCCCTCAGCGGTCTTCGGTTCGTCCTATGGCAAGGTGTTCCTTTCCACATATGAATCCTTTTTCTCATTAATATAATGGGAGGGACAGCCATCCTTTGGAATCCAGATCCTTATACAGAAGGGAAGGACAACTTGCAACTCTCCAGATGCTGGCAGCATTGCAAATCCCTTAATCTTCCCCACTGGCTATGCTGCTAAGAGCTGATAGCAGTTGAAACCCAACAGCTTCTGGAGGACACATTGCCCACCTATGCATTACCAGCAGAGAAGCAGGGAGAAAAACCTTTGCAGCTGTAGCCTCCACTTCTTCAAAAGCTGAGGGATTTTCTCAGGGAAGTGTGTCTTTACTGGAATTGCTTCGCATATGTTTAATTTTTTCTATCTGGAAGTTGAGTCATGGCAACTGGATTTTTCTTATTAGGTTGAAACGGCTCTTAGCCATGACTCAACTTCCAGATAACCTCACCTGGATGACTGAGAATCCTCACAGATTTATTCTTTTTTCATTCTTCTTCAATACATTGTCCACAACGTGGTTTTCACAGAGAATATTTATCATGTTTTGTCATGTTGTTCAAACATACCCTTACTCTTCTTCCAAAGCTGGTCCCCTCATAACCTAAGAGAAAGAGGCTCCTTCAATCTGGGATCCTATACATGTTAATAAATTATTATCCAATGATGCCTCAGCAGGGCTGGTGGATACTGGATTCCAAAAAGATCTGGAAACCACACATTCTCCAATGTCGAAATAAATCCTGGTAGACTGTGCTCCCACCTCATTTTACGGGGGATGAAGTAGCCCCCCACTTCCCTTCCTCCTCCAGTTACAAAATGCTGATGATCCCCCCTGCTTCTAATGGAAGACTTCTTGGTGTGTGTGTGTGTGTGCGTGAGAGAGAGAGAGAGAGAGGCAGATCATTATACATTAAATGCAAATGTATTTTTAATCAGAGGGATATATTTTAATCAGAGGAAATGGGTTAGAACCCACAAAAACTCAAATACAGTGGGGTCTCTACTTAAGAACGTCCCTACTTAAGAACAATCCAACTTAAGAACAGCTCCATTTGCTAAATTTTGCTTCTACTTGAGAACAGAAATCCAAGATAAGAACAGGAAAAAAAAACCTCTCAGCAGGGCTGGTGGATACTGGATTCCAAAAAGATCTGGAAACCACACATTCTCCAATGTCGAAATAAATCCTGGTAGACTGTGCTCCCACCTCATTTTACGGGGGATGAAGTAGCCCCCCACTTCCCTTCCTCCTCCAGTTACAAAATGCTGATGATCCCCCCTGCTTCTAATGGAAGACTTCTTGGTGTGTGTGTGTGTGTGCGTGAGAGAGAGAGAGAGAGAGGCAGATCATTATACATTAAATGCAAATGTATTTTTAATCAGAGGGAATGGGTTAGAACCCACAAAAACTCACATAAGTTTTTAAGGTGACACAATACTTTTGTGAGAGAAAGGTAGTTTCCATTTTCACTTTCTGCCTGCTTTGCAGCAATATGTCTATTCAAAAGTAAATGCTATTTAGTCCCTAGTAATCAGAGATTAAGATTACCCCATCAGGTAACAAAATGTTTAGTGAAACATTAATATTATGCTTTTTGATGGCTGGTTGTTCCATCCTTTTATAGCCTTGGTAGCTTTCCTTTAAAGAAAGGACTAAACTACATTAAAATTTATTCCACAATTTTTGCAGCGATCCCTGTGGTCAGTTTTGAGTTTTTTCCCACTGGCTACATGGACATAAAACTAATTGTGAGTCAACATGGTCCTTTTTCGTGGTCTTTCATTGTACTTTGCTTGGTAGACAGGTTCTACTTTTTTAGTTGTGATTCCCAGCACACACTGCTATGTTTTGGGTTTTGGCATGTGTGATTGCCTGTATTGGCCTGAAGGGTAATGATGAGTGTGTCCTTGGTGACACGGATGTTAACATCTTCGGTGGTGTGTGTTGTGACAGGTAAGCCACACCCATCCCTCTACAGTTAGCTCCTCTCCTCATTTCATATAATAACTTTTAGAATTTTTGAATGGTCTTGTCAAATATGGCACTGATTCAGATCAGCACTGTATCATGTGGCAAAAATGTTTATAAAAAGGAAAGAAATTGACGAAGGGAGGGGGTAAGGAAGAGGATGATATCTTTTCAAACTTCTGATCTACCCTTTCATCCATCAAAGAGGAAGGAGGAAGATGAAAATCTTCAGTGGGTGCCTTCTTCCCACCCATCACTCCCAGTTTGCTGTTGGAAGGAGGGAAGGAAAAAGTAAGGGAAGAAAGCATCCTTGGAAATGTAGAGAGAAGGCCTGCTTCTGGCAGCAGTGGGCGGCTGTAGTGAAGAGGTTAAGCTATCCCAGCCCATCTCGAAGAAGGGCAGGGTCTGGTTATCTGGAACTACGAGAGGCAAAGGAACTTGCAAGCCAATTAAATGCCGCTCTTTTCTTATGGAAAACATTTAGCAGGTACCAATTTTGTTTTTCCTTCTCTCTACCCCATCCATCCTTGGCCATTTAAACCAGACACCCAGGATTCCTGGTGGTGATGGCAAGGGACAGAAGCGTGTCCCTCTGTCTTGACTGTCCATTGTTTTCTGCAGGAACATCCCTCAGAAACGTTTTTCCTGGGCATAGTCAAGTTGCAAGAGCCTGCCTTTCCTAAGCGCTAGGACCGACTGCGCTTTTGCCCACACAGGTGTTTGAGACCCAAACAGGATATGCCTATGGATTGAAGCAGGCCCCTAAACCTCCAGTGACCTACCATCTGTGTTGAATGACACATTTACAGCCGTTTGATTCCACTTTATCTAAAACAGCTCCATTCTCTGGGATCCAGCTGGGTCTAGTTTCATGGAGTTGACCTGAATGTTCTGTTAGACCAGGGGTCAGGGAACTTTTTTACCTTTTACCCCCCCAAAAATTTATATACGCCGACATTACCCCCTTGATTCAAAAGGAAGGAAATTATACATTATTTGAATTAAAAATACTTTATTATTGAATCTACACAGGCTGTGTACCGAACTAGCAGGATGCACCAAATTTGATAAAGATGTGCACTATTTTTGCTGGAACACATTGCACTCCAGCCATGGTGTGGTATAGGGAGTAGTAAGATGTCCAATGTTCCTACCAAGTTGCATTAAATTTTTGCTATCTCGCAGAGGTTTTAATCATCACCACAGTGGTGCTAGCAATGACATGCTTGCTAGAGACAGCCAACGTAGAATGGGGGTGTGTGCTTTCCCTACCACTTTAATCATTCTATGTGTGGTGTGCAAAAAGGATGAAACCAGGCTAAAGGTCATGTCACCCACCCTGGTGCCACAGCCCAATATCAAAGGACCAGTGTGCTTTTTT